TCATATACAAAATTAACCCCCTAAAAAAAATTTCAAAACTAATTTTATAAACTCTTGACAACATTTCTAAATATGAAAAATAATTTAACATACTAGATTAACCCCCTAAAAAATTTTTATAATAATTTTATAAACTCCAGACAACCTTTCTAAATATGGACAATAATTTCATACACTAAATTGACCCCATGAAAAAATTTTAAAATTAATTTGATAAACTCAAGACAACCTTTCTAAATATGAAAAATAATTTCGTATACTAAATTGACCTCCTAATTTTTTTTAAAAAAAAAATTATAAACACAAGATAACCTTTCTAAATATGAAAAATAATTTCATATATTAAATTGACCCCTAGAAAAATTTAAAATATAATTTTATAAACTCAAGACAACCTTTCGAAATATGGAAAATAATTTCATATACAAAATTAAACCACTGAACAAATTTTAAAAATAATTTTCTAAACTCTAGACAAACTTTCTAAATATGGAAAATAATTTTACATACTAGATTGACCCCCTAAAAAAATTTTAAAATAATTTTATAAACACCCAGACAACCTTTCTAAATATGGAAAAAAATTTCATATACTAAATTGACCCCCTGAAAAAATTTTAAAAATAATTTTATAATCTCTAGAAAACCATTCTAAATATAGAAAATAATTTCATATACAAAATTAACCCCCTGAAAAAATTTCAAAAATAATTTTATAAACTCTAGACAACCTTTCTAAATATGAAAAATAATTTTACATACTAGAATGACCCCCTAAAATTTTTTTTAAAATAATTTTATAAACACAGACAACCTTTCTAAATATGGAAAATAATTTCATATACTAAATTGACCACATGAAAAAATTTTAAAAATAATTTAATAAACTCAAGACAACCTTTCTAAATATGAAAAATAATTTCGTATACTAAATTGACCTCCTGAAAAAGTTAAAAAAAATTATAAATACAAGATAACATTTATAAATATGGAAAATAATTTCATATATTAAATTGACCCCTTAAAAAATTTTAAAAATAATTTTATAAACTCAAGACAACCTTTCTAAATATGAAAAATAATTTCATATACAAAATTAACCAACTGAACAAATTTTAAAAATAATTTTATAAACTCTAGACAAACTTTCTAAATATGGAAAAATAATTTTACATACTAGATTGACCCCCCAAAAAATTTTAAAATAATTTTATAAACTACAGACAACCTTTCTAAATATGGAAAAAAAATTCATATACTAAATTGACCCCCTGGACAAATTTTAAAAATAATTTTAGGAACAAGGTTCAAATTGGCCACTAAACGTAACCTGAAAGTGCAATTAGGCCATTGAACGAAAAAAAAAGTGCAATTAGGCCACTGAACACTTCAAAAAATGTGCAATTTTACCTGATAGCAGGTTACCCTCAATTTTAGCAGGTTATCTGCTTACGTGGCAGCTGAGTTGGCATTTTTAATAAATTTTTAATAAATTTTAATAATAAATTTTTATTAAATTTTTTTAAAAAAAATAAAAACGACTTTATTTTATTTTTTATTTAATTTTTTCCATTTTTTTATAAAATTTATTATTAAAATTAATTATTAAAAATTATTTAAAAATGATTAAAAATGCCAACTAAACTGCCACGTAAGCAGGTAACCTGCTAAAATTGATGGTAACCTGCTATCCGGTAAAATTGCATACGTTTGGAGAGTTCAGTGGCCTAATTGCATATTTTTTGAGTGTTCAATGGCCTAATTGTACTTTTTTTTCGTTCAGTGGCCTAATTGCATTTTCAGGTTACGTTCAGTGGCCAATTTGAACCTTATTCCATAATTTTATAAACTCTGGAAAACCTTTCTAAATATAGAAAATAATTTCATATACAAAATTAACCCCCTGAAAAAATTTCAAAAATAATTTTATAAACTCTAGACAACCTTTTTAAATATGAAAAATAATTTTGCATACTAGATTGACCCCCTAAAAAAAATTTAAAATAATTTTATAAATTCTAGACAGCCTTTCTAAATACGGAAAATAATTTCATATACTAAATTGAACCCCCTGAAAAATTTTAAAAAATAATTTTATAAACTCTAGACAAACTTTCTAAATATGAAAAATAATTTTACATACTAGATTGACCCCCTAAAAAAAATTTTAAAATAATTTTATAAACTACAGACAACCTTTCTAAATATGGAAAAAAATTTCATATACTAAATTGACCCCCTGAAAAAAAAATTTAAAATAATTTTATAAACTCTAGACAACCTTTTTAAATATAGAAAATAATTTCATATACAAAATTAACCCCCTGAAAAAATTTCAAATATAATTTTATAAACTCTATACAACCTTTCTAAATATGAAAAATAATTTTACATACTAGATTGACCCCCTAAAAAAAAATTTCAAATAATTTTATAAACTCTAGACAACCTTTCTAAATACGGAAAATAATTTCATATACTAAATTGACCCCCCTGAAAAATTTTTAGAAATAATTTTATAAACTCTAGACAAACTTTCTAAATATTGAAAATAATTTTACATACTAGATTGACCCCCTAAAATTTTTCTTTAATAATTTTATAAACTCTAGACAACCTTTATAAATATGAAAATAATTTCATATACTAAATTGACCCCCTCGAAAAATTTTAAAAATAATTTTATAATCTCTAGACAACCTTTCTATATATAGAAAATAATTTCATATACTAAAATATCAATCGTCTCCGTGTGTTTTCTTAAGTTACCCTGATTCTTTTCGTGGCTATCGTTGTTTAGTCACTAACACTAATAAGGTCTTTATCTGTCGCCATGTGCGATTCGATGAGTCTATCTTTCCGTTTGCTGGTTGTGTTTCCTCGTAGGTTGTTGACAGGCCCCAGTTGGTGCCTTGGGGTGTTGCTCCCGTTGTCTCAGTTCCTGCGCCAGTCTTACCCGATGAGGGGGCTCCTCCGGATCCTCCTCCAATGCTGCCGGATTTGGACTCTAGTGAGCGGACAATTTCTGATTGTGAGCGGTCCGTTCGTGCTGGTCGGCCTCGCCGTGGTGCTAAGGTGGCTGGACCGCGTTCTCATGTGATGGCCACACGGAGTATGGGCCCTAAGGAGCATGTGGTATTGATGTCTGCTACCGATTCGCTTGAGCCCACGTGCTATTCGCAGGTTGTGCAGCATCCCGAGTGGCGTGAGGCCATGGATGTGGAGTTTAATGCTCTGCTTCAGAACCATACCTGGCGGCTTGTTCCTTACACTCCTGGTATGAATGTTGTGGGGTGTAAGTGGATGTTTCGGGTAAAGAGAAATGTTGATGGGTCTGTGGAACGGCACAAAGCCCGGTTGGTAGCTAAGGGCTTCAATCAGGTTGCAGGGAAGGATTTTTTTCAAGACCTTCAGTCTGGTTGTTAAACCCACCACGGCTCGACTGTTGCTTTCTTTGGCTCATTCGCGTGGTTGGTCCATTCGGCAGTTGGATGTCCATAATGCGTTTCTGAATGGTTCCCTTGCTAAGACTGTGTATATGCGTCAGCCGCCCGGTTATGAGGACAAGTCGAAGCCTGATCATGTGTGCTTTCTTCAGCGTTCCCTGTATGGGGTGAAGCAAGCTCCTCGTGCATGGTTTACTCGGTTGCACAATTTTTTGATTTCTGTTGGCTTTGTTCCTTCTAAAACTGATGTATCGTTATTTATTTATTATGGTGGTGGTGCACAATTATATTTTTTGGTGTATGTAGATAACATCTTGGTTATGGGCTCGGATTCACACCATGTCACAGGGCTTGTGGCTAAGCTGGCTCAGGAGTTCAAGATTCGTGATATGGGGGCTCCGTCATTCTTTCTTGGCATTGAGACCGTGTCGCTTTCTGATGGTGTCTTTCTCTCTCAGCAACGTTATATCCAGGATATTCTTAAGCGTGTCGGGATGGTAGACTGCAAACCGGTCTCGACTCCGGTTTCGGTCGTTCGATGTGATGATGTTGAGGCCACTCCTTACGCTGATCCCACTCACTACCACAGTCTGGCCAGCGCGCTACAGTACTTGACAGTGACTCACCCGAACTTATCTTATGCGGTTAATCGGCTCTGTCAGCATATGCAGTCCCCCACCACAGCTGACTGGAGTATGATGAAACGGGTCTTGCGGTACGTCAAAGGTACCCTTGGTCTAGGTCTTTGTCTTCACAATTCTCTATCTACTGCTATTCATGTTTTCCCTGAACTCGAATTGGGCTGGCAATCTGGACGACAGGAAGTCTACGAGTGATTTTGTAGTCTATATGGGTAGCAATCTGATTTTCTGGTCCTGTCGGGAACTGCGCACGGTGGCGCGTTCTTCTACTGAGGCTGAATACAAGGCCTTGGCTGATGTGTCGGCTGAAGTTACATGCATGGCTCGTTTCTCTGCTTAAGGAGATTGGTTTTCCACCGACTTCTGCGCCTAGTCTATGGTGTGACAACTTGGGTGCCACGTACCTATGTTCAAACCCGGTGTTTCATGCCCGAATAAAGCATGTGGAGATTGATTACCACTTCGTTCGTGACAAGGTATCCAAAAAGGAGATTTAGGTTCATTTTATTTCTACGAAGGATCAGCTGGCTGACATTTTTACCAAAGCTCTTCCATCTGCTCGGTTTTCCTATCTGCGAGACAAGCTCAACGTTGCAGCTACTCCACCTTGAGCTTAAAGGGGAGTATTAAGACTCTTATGCATTATGATTCTCTATCTATCTCTCTATATCTCTTTATATCATTATTGTACATACTTTGATTCAGTTACGATCATTAATCTAATCCTCATCATTTTTAATTAAGAAATAAAAGTTTTAATTAAATGAGTAATAAAATCTCATAATTTGTTTTAAAAAATTATAACCAAACAACCAAACACTAACTATGATTTTGATTTTCCTTCCTTGTTTGTAAATCATAAACCAAACACACCCTTTGTTTGGACTTTCGCATGGGAGATACTGTATGCGATCTGTATGGCCCAATAAACAGTCACGAACAACGGTGGCTGATAAACAGGAGATTATGCGAGATTAATTTATCATTAATCTAAATTAAGGGGGAAATCATGCCATAATCGCGGAATTATAGGGTCCGTTTTTGAAGACCCAAGCGCCCTTCTCATCTGTTTGTTTTGTTTTGTTTTTTCGTTTTCAAATTTCCTCCAAAATTTTCTGCTCAGCTCAATTAAAACTGTCTGTTCGATGCCCATAGAAATGGAGCCGGCAGCCATGGTGGTTGAAAAGCTGAAAGCTTTCGCGCAATCGACTCAAGACTTCGCTTCCCGCATTCTTCACCGGAGCGAAAATTCCAAACGCCGCAGTCCGGTACTATCCATTTTACTTTCCACAATATTATTAATATTAATTTCAAATATGCAAGTAAATTATGTTGATTCGCATTTTATTTTCGGAAAAAGCAGTGTGTTTATAATGGATTTTCATCGCAATTTACACTTTCGGTTGTTTATTCTGAATGAATTGTGTTTTGTTGCTGTGTCGTTGAAATCGCGTGTCCTGGAGGCGGTGTATTTTCGGAGATACTCTGCGAGTGTGCAGTGTTCAACGTGAGTGCAGATAAGCACTTCAATAAATTGCATGTGTATTGAAGAGGGAGCATAGGTTTGCCAAATTAAAGTATGTTGATATGAGCTCGTGCTCACTTACCTGCATGAATTCCAGTCAACATTTAGTTCAAATGTGATGAAGTCATGAACTTTGATTTAAATGTAATAAGTGTTTATCTTAAACATTACAATTCTGAACATTTAGACATTTAGCTAAACATAATTGACAACTACTGGGGTGCACAAATGAAAATGAGTATTGTGTCATGGCATAATTTGCACTCTAGCATTGTTATGTGACGTCTTAAACTAGTCAGGATTCAGGAATTGTTTATTCTCTAGAAATGAACTCAGGGGATTATTTTGTTAATGTATTTGGTAGTAAATCCAATGAAGTGATCAAGTAAGAGTGTCTTAATATGTTGGAGAGCTGGTGCAATGTTCAGAGAAATTTTGGGATTGTCTTTTTCTGTTCATTGGGTATTTACGATAACTAGAATAGAACTAATATCATTTGACCTTTGAAATGGCCAAAATGGGAAGCCTGATTTTGTTGATGCCCAAGAATACTGAAGACTTGGAATTTCCTTGCTAAGAGATCGATTCAAGTTCTGACATTCACACTTGTCTAAATTTGCCTCTGCCCTCTTCCTATGATATGATTTGAATTGTAGCCACTACCTGAATTGAATGAATTGTTGCCTGCTGCATTATTTTCACCTCAAGTACGATGACTACATCATTAGTTTCCAAACTGACAGCATAAGTTCTTAATGTAGCTGGGGTCCTAACAGTCTATTTTGTCAGCTCTATTACAACTATAACTAACATAGCTGTCTCTTTTGGCTCTCTATAATTTCTCAAATTTGATGCTTCAATAGGTAACAACAAGCTGTATGATGGAGCTTTACAACTCTTCCAATGATGTCCTTTTCAGATTGAAATCTTGAAGAGGTTGCAGCGAGAAGCATTTTCAGATATCATGAAGCTGAGAGATAGACAAGAGAAGGTGGAACGCTTGCTTTCCTTCTATAAAACTTATAAAGCAAGTCCATTCCAAGAAGCTAGCACTCGTGTGAAGGGAGAGTTTGATGTAGTTGGGGCATTGTTGATGATGGACACCGTTGATCAGTCAACCTGTGATGCACTTCAGAGAGCTGGTATTAAGACTGGAATTGACTCCAGGCTCTGGTTTGAAACAACCATTCGAGAGAAAGATACACTTGTAACAGAGTTTGTTGGTACTGAAAGAGGCAGAGGTGATGTCTTGGGCAGTCCACTTTGTCTTGCTAAGGTTCTATATTGTGCAAACGTAAGCAACTGGTTCTCTGCAGTTGCAATACCAGTGGGTGCTCGATGCAGGGATTTCAGTGTTGGTACAAGTTCTCCTCACCAGGTAAGTATTATTTGCAGTCTGCCATTTAGTAATTACATATTGTGTTTCCAGTGATAGACTGTTTGCATAGGAATTTACAGATTATATTCCATCTTTTCCCCCTTAAAGTAAGTCAGTCAATTGCATGGTAAAAAGTTGCCATTTTCAATTAATTTTTCAGGAAAAGGCCCTTACAGATTATTCAACACTAGGGCCACCCTTCTTGAATCATATAAATGGTTGTGCCATTGGTATAATGACAAGAAAGTCAAATATTGTGGCTTCATTGGCTCAATTTGCCTCTGGCATAGGAGCACCACCTATCTCTTCCAGAGCTCTCAGTTGTTTCAGCACTTTTGGACAAGTTGTTTGTCAACTTCCCAAGAGTACAAAGCTGACCCTTATGGGTATCCACAAAGTGCTGAAAGTGTCTAGTCAGCAACATAGTCTTGGATCCATGACCTTTCCTATTGGCATTTTTCGGCGACACCAACAATCTCGGGCATCTGTGGAGGAAGAGGATCTGCTCATAGGCACAATCAGGAAGGACAGTGTCTTGGATGGATCTATGGCTTTGATGCTTGAGTCACACCTTGACAACAGTACAAGAATCGGAGGCTGGATCGAGATGACAAAATCACATCCCAAAAATCTACAATGGGCTATTACTATGTCTGATACCCCCGAGGATGATTTTGGATGGGGTTTGAGCTTGGGTGGGTTGGTCCAAGGCCCAACAAACTGTGAACAATTTCAGATCGAAGCATTCCTTAATTTTAACTTGGGGAACAGATGCAGAATGCAACCTGCTATTCTATATGTGATGGACGGGGAAACCAAGTTCCCAACTCTAATGTTTCGGTCAAGCTTTAGCCTCTAGCATTGCAAAATTTTACATCTATGATTTCTAATACTTTCTTGATGGGTATAATTCAGGTTATTGCTTCTACTCTGCTGCCCATGCCAGTTTTATTTATATCATTCTTCCAAGATTTTAGAATGTGTTTTAACTTAGAATTCCAGGTGGACTTTGTAAATGTGCATTCTTTGGTGCAAATGTAGCAATGCTATTTATTTAATTTTTCAGATAATGAGATTTTCATGGGAAGAAGGATAGTGTGTGTGTATATGTATATGTATTCTAAGATATACATGTAGACATGTAGTCCAACCTTGTGCGATAGTCGTGTTGGCAAGAATCAAACTCGTGATCTTCTAGTACAATAATCATGTTTCACTTACTTGTTTTCAGGGCCAATTTTTAAGCTTTATTCCATTATTACTATGTTGTTAATCTACGAAACAAGATCATTAGTATCAAACGTATGAAGAAGTGATTGATTAATCCAAAAACGTAAACTGTCGTACATATTATTGCCTGCAGATTAAGGAATTATTATTTACAGCAGTAATTCAAAGTGTCAACTCTCCGGCATTCTGAAATTGCCATTCATTATTTACACTGGGGGGTTCTTTGTGGTTATGAATCAAATGTACATCTCTGCTCTCAGCAAAACTGGTGCAATGTACAATCTTATTCTGGCTGCTGGAGTGCTTTTGAACTTTTATTGAAAGCCGCTCATGCAATCAATGGTTCAAGGCTTTACCACTAGAAGCTAGCTGACACCCATATCAGCTGTACAAACTGTCCATTTGTTGTTCAAAGCTGGATCACTTCAAGAGGAATTGGAGGACAAGGCAATGTGCTTCTCTGTACATGACAAGTTAATGGCCTTCAGAAACATTAGGCAAAAGATAATTTTCATAAAAGAAAAGAATTTCACCCCAATCCCGAGTGCCCCCACCTACTCCTCCCTCGGAGTCTTGGTGGAAGAGGTAAACCACGGGATGTGGTTCAACGGTTTACAGGTTTCTCAAAGAAAGTTGTGGCTAGTGAAGCAGAACTATTAACTATCTTTGAACTAGTCAACCAATTGAGCTATGTCTCAATAACGCGACAAGTAAGGCTGTTCTTACCTCCTGTTGCGATGAGCTTCTCAACACGAGATACAATATGCTTGCCATAAGTGTACCTCTTGAGAGCAGTTAGATGAACCTTGATGCGAGAGAGGATTAGTTCCCGACTATGGTCATCACAGGTCTCGAGAACCTTCTGCACAACATAGTTTCCAAAAGGGTCTTTCATCATCACCTATAGTCAGTCAGTCAGAGGAGTTTAAGCATTCTTTGGTTAGCTAGGGAATTCAGAATAGAAGATGAGGTTAGGAATATGATGCAATAATGAGATAGATATACACACACACACACCTGTAGTGGCTCATTTTCGTCTGTGGAACCGAGCATCTCATTCACCAAAAGTTTGCGCTCCTCGGGAGTGCCAAATATCAAGCACTTCTCAACAACATTGGAAGCAAATTTCTGCTGGCTCATCTTAACAATCTGTCCTGCAAGCTTACTTATGATAGAAGAGCGCTCGTGTGGCTTACCATGTTGCAGTACATGCTAATCAAGTTAAAAGAGAGACAAAAATAAGCAAAGCTTTTAGATGAGAAAAGATAGTGTTTAGTTCAAGAAAGAATTGAAATACCTGAATGACATAGTTCCCATATTGATCTTGCACTAGAGTGCACACAGATTGCATGATCTCATCCATGATAATCTTTTGCATTTCAGGGTCATCGCAGTGCTCAAGGACTCTCTGCAAAAGTAAACGAAGTAGATCGGAATATGATTGATGGCAATGGGTAATAAGAAAGAAAAGCCTGTCCAAACCTGAATGACACGGCACCCATACGGGTGCGTGGATAAAGCCACAATTTGTCCAAAAAATGATGATATAATGAAACGAATTCGATCTTGAGGGACGCACTCTATGCACTTCTGGATCACGTGGTTCCCATTCTGATCACGAACACACTTCATAACAGAACCATCAAGTTCTGAAACCATCTGCGTCTGCTGCTCAACATCAACAACCTCCAGTGCCTGTGATTTTGATATGGCATTGCACGTATGCTCTCAAAGAGAAGAGAAGAAGACCACAATATTAAGGAATCAAGTTCAATGAACTATTTACTATACTTTTCCTCTTACTAAATGTTCTCGATATAGGTACTTTCATCACCTTATTTTCAGAATAACAAGATGAATATATATATATTCTTATGTTAAAAGCTGAATGTATTTATTTATCTGCAAATGCACACACTGTCTCTTGTGTATAGAAAGTAGGTGACAAATATCAAGGGATAAGATACGGGAATCAACCTTTTGAATAACTCTGCAACCATACATCTGAAGAGTTAGAGGCAAAACGTGACCAATAAGTTGGGTAGCTAACTCTTTTCTTTGACTCTCTGTGCCATGCTGAAGAAACTGTACATTTCGTGAATCGATTCAATCAATCATCTACAGAACATTCATATTTATTTAGTGTCATTGGATGATGAAATAACGTAACATACCTTCTGTATGACATAGTTGCCAAACACATCAGTCATCAAATTCCGAGCATGGGGAATGATTTCTGGGAATATCTTCATCTTGTCCTCGGTGCTGGCAGTTTCCAGTTTCTGCTGGATGAAGCGACTTCCATACTGATCCGTGCTAAATGATAGAGAAATAGAGACGTTTCAAGAAAAGAAAAGCGAGCTTAAGCTAAGCATATAAGCATATATACCTGAATTCTACAACATGGTTGAGGACATCTATGAGGTCTATGGATCTGGCTTTGTTGCTCTTTAGCTCCTCTAATAGTGACGAGGCGGCCAATCTTCCTTCAACTTTTGGATCAGTCTCGGAATGCCACACGGGGGGGCGTGCAGATTCCGCAGTTGAGTTTTTGTACGTAGAGGAAATGCGTGGATGCTCATTCTGGAACGAAGAACTTCTAGACCCAACCCTGGGGGGGTGGTGCAAAGAATTAAGTGTTCTATTATTTCCTTGACAAGAATCGTGATTCCCATGGTACTGATTACCTAAGCTATCGCAATTATGTACAGAGGGTGACTGGTACAGTTGCCTTTGTTGTTCAAGCAAGGCTTCAATGTACACCTTTTCGAGACCTTGCAAATCTCCATAGGCATGGGAAGTTCCTATAAAATTTCTTCCTTGAGGAGCCATTGTATTCCTCGCGTAACAAGCAGCTTTCTTCAGATACTGGATTTTCCATGAATCTGTAACCGGGGACTGAAGATTTGGCCTATCACTCCTCGAGTTGAGCCCATTCGCACCTTTTAAATGAGAGCCTGTAAGATCATACATGTGAGGAGCTAGCAATGCAAGACAAACAGACCAAATTAAGGTTTAAATTTGATGATGGAGAAGTTAAGGTTAGTAACCTATATCAAGCTTGTTGTTCATTGCCATGTTTAGCTTCTGACCATATGTATACCCAGAAGGGAAATCATCAACAACTTGGAGGAGAGGCGCATTAGAGTTATCCATACTTGCAATTTCTGTAGTAGCAGTCGGTGGCGATTGAAGGTTGGCTAAAGATCTTCTTCTAAACAAGTTCATTTTCCCCTCGAAATCCAAATTAGAATTGTGAAGGGCTGATACAATTTTTTTGTCGCTTACCCGACCAACATAGTCAGTGGCACTACCCAACCTCTTAGCTCCTGCAGACTTGTCAATAAATTGCTGCTGCTCCTCGCCATTTGACACTCTCATTTGAAGCTGAGAATGCAGCAGAGCATCGTCTTTAAGACGTTGATGATTACTTGGCAAAGTTAACCCGGTAAAAGAGGCTGCTAACTCAGCAACTTCAGTCTTCTCAGATGGAAGAACAGTAGTGAGGTTCTTGGAGGCAGCAATACTTACTCCATTGGCAAGGCCTGGACTCGATCTTGCAACGGGATGAGGCTCGGGCGTTCTACTCCTTGCCAGAGATGAATCCAAGGGAGACGACGACCTTGTAAAGGAATTTTTAACTTTCTGAACTCTAGAAAACCCCGGGGGAGCTTGCAGTGTATGTAAAGCTTGGGTAGACTCCATGCTTGCAGAGCGAGAAACGCGATCTGATAACGTTGCAGGTTGGTCTAGTGCCTCCTGCAAAAGCAGTTAGTTTTCTCAACTTTAATCACAAATTTCCAAGAACAACAACATTGTACCTATGAAACGCACAGAGAAAATTAATCACCTGAACTATGTTAGCAAAACTCTTCCTCCTTATGCCCATTCCAGATATCGCTCCCTCAGCTTGTTGCTCTAACTGTTCAACAGAATTTTTCCTGGGAACATTGCTAACAGTAACAGCAGCCTTCCTCAACTTCATCAAGTCATCCTCTACCATCTGAGGGGACAACCTAGGCTGCATTGAGAATAACGATGAACTGCCACCTTCGTCCAGAAAGCTATTGCTCCTCCAATCCACAATCCCACTAAATGCACTCCCACCCGCCTGCTGAAACCTCTGAGCAACCCGCCAATCCTCCCTCGACAGCAGGGGAGGGGGCAACCTAGGATTAAGATTCTCGTGGGAATAGTAATATGCTAAGTAAGCAGGGTGTGATCTGATCTCTTCTTCTGTCAAACCTCCTCCCCCGCTACCACCATTACCATTACCATTATCAAACAGCGAAAAGTTGGGATTCCTAAACAGACTCCCCACAGCACTGAGTGATCCTTCCACAGTGGGCGGGGCACTGCCACTCCTAAATATATTCAGCTCACTCTCCCTCTCCCTCTCAAACAACATGCTCCGATCAATCTGCTGTTGCTGTCGTTTCACCATTAACTCCAACTCACTTTCCAACGATTTCTTACTCTCTACGTTCCCATTAGAACTGGATCCTCTCATTCCCTTCCCAGTATCGCTGCCCAGCCCATGATTCCTCGTACTACTCACATTCAGCACCTTATTAAGGTTGTCTTCCTCACTACTACGACTAGTAATCATCTCAGCTAACCCTAAGCACGTACAAACTAATTCAATAACATCAATTAAAATAAAAATCCATCGCATCTACACAAACATAAACACGACAATAAATGTAAATCACTACACACCTTTTTTACTTCAATTCACATATCAACATCGGACAGCACCCGCGAGCCTGCCTGCCGCTACAAATCTGGATGAATTCCATAAAAAAAAAAACAACAAAAAATGAAATTTCTCAGCAATCGAGTGAAGATAATCGTTGAACACATCGAAAGATGAGTGTGTGTTTAATCACATTGGCGTTCATTTCTGGATTATACATTACATACATGCATGTACACATGAAGAATTCCTTTACAGAGGTTGATTAGCAGAAGAGCAGATTAGGATTTAGGAAATGATAACGAGAAGTTGAGAAAATTCAGGAAGGCGAAAACTGGAACATCATAATAATGATAATAATAATAATAATACCTACGGGGAGAGCTCTGAATGTTTCTTCGGTCATGTGTGGAAATTTACGTCGGACTGAGAGAGATACGAACAAATCTTTAAGGAAGATCAGAGTGAGCTTTGAAACAGAGACACGACAAGGGGTTTCGCCGCGTAGGACGTGCATGGTGTTAATGTTAAATCAAATATACAAATTTAATAAATGAACCACAACTTGACGTACTTGATATTCAACCACACCAAAATAATATCTATATATTTATATTAGTCAGGTTCCAACAGATAACTTCAATCAAGTTGATCGAATAGTTAGTTTAATAATTATTAACTACAAGATTCTAAATTTGATTCTTCATAAAAGATATTTATTGGTTTTTTGGTTTGAGAGCATAAGTTATAGACAATCTAGGCAACTAGGATGGTTTAACCTTCCAGATGGACCTAGCCAATTTGCTTAGATAGTTGCCTTGGTAACTTTAAGCCGACCAACTATCTATTGATGAATGAAAATGAACCCCAGTTAAGTTAGTCAGACAGTCGATTTAGTAACCTTAAGTCGATCAGCTAACCATTGATTAATCCCGATAAACCTTAATCAAATTGATCGGACAACTGGCTTGGTAACATTAAGCATGTCAGCTATCTTTTGATGAACCCAAAAGAACATGTGAGTTACTAAAGTTTATAGGAATATGAGGGTATTTAAGGGAAGAAAATAATATAATAGAGGATAGAGTAGGAACACTAAAATAAAAATAATTTGAATCATTCATTTCATCAAATAATTTGACGGACATGTTTTAGTTTCCATTATAGGTCTAATCTACAAAAATACGCACTGAAATATACAACAATGTGTACTACAAGGCACAAAGATGTGCAATCGAAGCAATTGTGATACCAAAAAGTGGAATTATTCAACTTCAGTGTTATTGAAGCAAACTACCCTCACAAACCGTTTGTATATTTTGATATGATCAACTCACAACTTTCATTAGAAATTTAGTTATTGAAAAGACGAAACTCAATCATCCAAGGCAAAAGATATACTAAACAATGGCATCAAGGTTGACATGTTTTAGTTTCCAAATATTGGTTCGTGTGTGTGTGTGTGTGTGTGTGTGTGTGTGTGTGTGTGTGTGTGTGTGTGTGTGTGTGTGTGTGTGTGTGTGTGTGTGTGTGTGTGTGTGTGTGTGTGTGTGTGTGTGTGTGTGTGTGTGTGTGTGTGTGTGTGTGTGTGTGTGTGTGTGTCACTATGGTAATTTTGTGTAAGTTTTTTTTTTTTTGGTCTTTGTGTGCATTTTTTCCTTCTTTCAGTGCATATTTTTCCTTTTTAAAGTGTATATTTTTTTCTCTTTCTAAAGCACAGTTTTTCCCTTCGAGTGCATATTGTTGTGCCTTCCAATGCATAATTTTGGACCAGTACAAACTTCACGAACACATTCTATTTTACGTTTTCATTCTCCTCATGCAAAGCTCGTCTATGATTTGTGTTGAAGATCCTGTATTGGTCAAAAATTAAAGACCAACATACAAATTATTAAATGGCATCAAGGTTGACATACTAGTAAGACATTGTTTAGTATATCTTTTACCTTGGATGATTGAGTTTCGTCTTTTCAATAACTAAATTTTTAATGAAAGTTGTGAGTTGATCATATCAAAATATACAAACGGTTTGTGAGGGTAATTTGCTTCAATAACACTGAAGTTGAATAACTCCACTTTTTGGTATCACAATTGCTTCGATTGCACATCTTTGTGCCTTGTAGTACACATTGTTGTATATTTCAGTGCGTATTTTTGTAGATTAGAATTGTCGATTTTTTTTTTTTAAAGAACAATTGATCTTAACTAAATCAATGGTTGAGATTTATGAGCATTTTTCACAAATCTTTTGCACATGATATATATATACACATACATACATACCCTGAAACTATTGTATTAATTGTATGCTATGAACTGTATCAAGCTGTTGAGTTAAAACGGAATGGAATCCAAACTCATCTCTTTCATCATATATTTCAAATAAAATTACAACATTCATAAACATGGTACTACAATTGAACAGGTAAAGAAACCAAGTAATTATAGAAGAAAGAATATGAGAAACCACTACTAAACCAGCAACTAGAGTAGATAAAAGTTCTATATAGTATGAATGTATGTGAAAGGCATCTAAACTACAAACAGATTCAGCTCAACCACTCAGACTCTCAACAATCTGGAAAAGGGCAGAATATGTTCCAAAAGCTGATGATACCACTCCCACTCCCATAACAACTACACAAGCTGATGCCTGCCAAAACAAAGTTGTTTTTCATCAGACAATTAAGAACACAAATCATAGCTAGCAGTCACTAATTGAGTACATCTAGCCACTCTAGTTACTGCACTACATAGTTCTGTTTTCTGGATTTCGCGTTTTTCTCTAGTGAATGAAGCAGTTGTCAAGAATGCAGGATAAGTAAATTGAATAATGGATGCTTCGGTTTATGCATAATGGATGGTTTGTGATACATGGTAAGAATGATATGGTTTTATAGTGTGGGAGTAAACGATGATTGATGGAGGAATAGATGATGGGAAAGATCGTGTTTTTGTTATTTAAGATGAAAGTATCAAAAGAGCAGTAGAAAAGATTGGAACTTGATTTAACTGTCTGGGATAAATTATTGAAGTCATAATCAAGTGAAAACCGAATACTGAGAACCAGAGACCAAATCAGCAGGAGGATTCCATACCTGGATGTAGCTTATTTTACCCCTCAATACGCTAAGATAACAGGCGCAAGGGAGTATCAGTGTCTGAAACAAAACTTGAATCAATATACTGGCTTACGGTGATTGTAAAAAGAGAAACTGTGAGGGAAATGGCATAGGATTCGGTGACTTACGACTAGCATGGTGAGAAAAGATCCAATAAGGGACATCACAAGACCTGTAAACGGAAGAATTTATTGTGATTAAAGAACTTACAACTAGCATCCTTAACAAAGATGCAATGCTAAAGAATGATCATTTTAACCAATATGAAACATAGAATGTTTACAGTAGCTTTAATTTAGGATGTGTTTTTCAGCAGGAAATAGATCTGTAGCATGAAAACTTACCGAAGAAGGGTATCAAGAGACCAACAATTAAAGACGATACCACCAGTGCTGTCCTGATGAAGATTGAATACATCCAACGAGATTTGCCTTGGCCTGAGGGTATCAATTCTTCAAGACTCATTGCCACAGGAGCAATGGTTAATGCATACGTGTAGCTAATTAAGGAAGACAACCTCTGGCCTATGCACGGGGAAATTTATTGTTTTATTTCAGGTAGAAACACAATCAGGAGAGTAATGGCAGTAGAAATTTCTTACAAGAAAGCATCTATATAGCTAGTTCACGTATCCTTTTGTGTTGGAATTGTTGGTTAGAACGATTCTGTATAGTGTGTGATGTGATTACTTCTAAAAAATGCTACTAAGAATTTCAAGTAGAGGTGCATATGGTTAAAACAAAGACTTCGCAAGAAAGGATATTTTGTAAATGGATTGACAACCTGCAAAAGATATAGCATAAAATTCAAGTTAGAATAGCAAATTTCACGTTTACTAATTATAAGATGAAACTGAAGCTGATATAGAATGACATACAGTTGTCCAGACAGCAACTTTGGAGGAAACTAAATCATTTGGCATATTTAGTGTGAACTGTGACTCGGATGAATCCCCAAACATCATATATCCCATTACAGCAGTTCCAGCATACAGCAGAGTAACTATCCCGAAACTACATCCATAATCAACACAAGCAAAGAACACACACGGTGAAAAAACTGAATGCCATTCACAGGAAGAATAGATTTTATCTTTTCACTTATAGATAAATCTTAGGATTTGACTTTTGAGGTTAAATAAATAAATAAATTCCAAGCTACACTTGATTTAGAGTACCTGGCTAAGAGGACTGCAGGGAATTGGTTGCGATTCTCCATTGATGTATATATATTGGGAAACACAGCATGCCCCGAGTAGCAATAACCATAGAGACCAACTGCAACTGGAAGAGTGGATAGATTCAATGTCGTCCTTTTGCTTTCAAAGCCAACATCATCCACGAAGCCAGCCCAATACAAGCAAGCAACAACCAGTACAGATGCAACAACTCCTCCAGCTGAAACAGAAAGAACTCAAAATAAGCATGTGTCGGTGTGTGCAGAAAGAAGCTATGATCTTTCCCATTTCCCAGTTCAAACGCCAATAATAGGAACTATTATGATCACCTGAGATATAACTAAGAACAGTGAGGTCACGCAGCCAGGTAGTAGGAAGAACAGCCAGGGTTGCCATCAGTGCAAAAACATGGTGTGCATCTAAATGTAGCCCTCCCAAATTTAAATGTGCATTTGGGAATAAAGATGACAAGTTATCACCTTCCAAAATTATATATTCAACACAACATGCCTGCA